TCCACGGCCGTCTCAAGATTACTGCTATTTTGCCGACGCCCGTGGGCAGTACTAAGCCCACCCACCCCCATCCTGGCAGGTTAAAGGGAAGACTTCCAAGGTGGACGTGTTCGCACCCAGTCTCGCCGACGACGTTGCCGCTGGCCTGGCGGCGCTGTGCCCGCCCAGAAGCGCGGTGGCAGATATCTCGGGCCGCCTGAGAGACGCTTCGCAAGGCGGCAGTACAAGCACAACGCCGGACCCCGTCCTGGGCAGCATGCGCGGGGCACCCGCTCCCGCCCCTCCGGGAGTGATCCTGGGAGGCGTCGGCGGGCGCAGTGGCAGAGTACCCCCGCCGCCGCCGCTGCCCCCACATGGCGCTATCGATCTCCCCGCCAGTGGTGGGTCAGAGGCAGTGGTTGGTGCTGGTGCGGTGTTTGGCGGAACCGTTCTCCGGAACGATTCGTCGCTGGACGACTCGAAACGCTACCGGCTGGAAACCCCGGGGCGGGGAAAATTTTGGGAAGGTGAGGCGGGGGCGCGCGGTTGAGGTTAGCGTACGAGATGTGGTGAGTGTGGGAACCCCTGATGCACTGTGTGCCCCCCCCCCCGGTTTAGATTGTGCAGGGGGGGCGTGTGAGCACTCCATGGTTCTCGCTGACACTCGTGCGCAAGTCTTCTTGATGCGGGACGAGCCCGCACTTGAGAAACTGGTAATGAAGTCACTGAGGGTTCGATTATCGCAAAAACATGTAAAACGCTCGCACCCGATGTACACGCAATCCACAACACACCACCCTACATATCTTCCCTATTGGTTTCCCCACTGGTCAATTGAAAGAGAGAGGGTTGCGCAAAGTGAGAGATTCTTGCCTGATGGCGCGTCGAGCACCGAGTTTGAGTTTCGCGGGCGCTTGTGACCGGTCTGGGAGGGTTTGCCCTGGTCGCTTCGCACACACCCCGCCCGGAGTGAGAAGGAACACGAGCTTCGAGATAGCCTCATCAGCCTCCGCCTTAACTGTTGTACCTCCATCAATATCGAGGCTCATTCCTGTCCAGGCGTTTGTCCCATTTTCTCGTAAGTTTGGGCTGCAACGACAATCCCCCTCTCTCCCAACTCAAGTGCCTACAGCTTTGTCAACACACCTAATAGAGCGGCTCACACGCGCTCCATTGCCCTTGAAACCAAACGTCTCGTTTCGGCGTTTACTTGTGTAGAGGACGTGTTTTCGGAATCCGGCGGCGGCGGCTGTGGTGGTAGCACAATCGGGGAGGACCCGCCCCCGGCCACGGCCGCGAAACGCTTCGCCTCGTGGCAGAACCTCCGAAGCTTGCCGGGAGGAGGAGCGACAGCGGCAGACGCTAGAGGCGTTTCGCCGATCGGGGCGACGGGGAACGTGGGTCCCCGGGGCGTCGGCGGCGGAGGTGGCGGTGGCTTGGGTGGTGAGAGGGGCGGGGACGTGTTGAGCCGGGAGGCGTTCGAGGCTCTGCTGCCGTGCATCTTCCATGCTGATGCCGTCCATGACGAGGTCTGTGCGAGCGCGTGTTTTGTGTGTGTGTGGATAGACACTCGGACGAAGCTGGTGTTTCCGGCGCTGTTTCCTGCCTCGTAGGGTGCTAAGGAGCGAATAGCAGCCGCTCTCCCCGAAAGCACCGTTGGTTGCGTAAGATTCCACACCCGCTGGACCCATCTTCAACAGACGATTACTCCTCGACTGAGAAGCATGGTACACATCAGTAGTAGGTTTCAGAGTTCTCTCGGTGAGACGGTTCATTTTCGGCACAGCCAGCGTTTTTGCTGCAGCGTAGTCGAGCTTTAATAATCGGTCACGGGCGTGCGGTTTTGGTGGTGGTACGTGACGGCCGAGTGTTGGCGCCGGGTTTTCCTGGCGTTTGAAGGCGTGGCTTGACGAAGGCATATGCCTTTAGCGCGTCGTGCGTCAGGCAGTGTAGGTATGCCGCAAGAAAGGCTCAGTCGGCCTCCTTTGGTCACTCCGGTGGACGCACACACGTTCATTTGTGTACCTACTGAGTGTACCGCTATATATCTTATCCTGTTTGGCGCTGCCACGTATTTTTCCTGGTGCATCAGGACCCATCGATCGGGAACATTCATGTCGGTTTCGACCAGTCATGCTCTCTGGGGTTGCAAACCCTGCTCTGAGACATCACATGCAGCCTTTGAAGTCATGATGAGGGCCGGTCGTATGTCTAGGGGGTTGCCCAGGGCTCGCACACGCTTGGTCTTGGCGACGGCGGCGGCCTCCCGAAACAGCAGGGGAAGACCCAACCACGCTCTTGGGGATAGGGGATGCGAAGGGATGGGGCGCATGGGGTCATCACGTCGCAAGGGTCAAGTGTGTATGTGGCGAATCAGATGAAAGTCACTCACCTCTTGCGGTGAAAGCTGGGAGACCGACTTGATCACTCTTGGATGGTGCCTTCATGCGCGGAAGCATAGTAAACTCCGCCTTTTGCCACCCGCCGCTTCTGTGGCACGCAGAGCAGAGGCTCGTGAGATCCTACACTGATTAGATTCAAGCTGGTTGCATGATTCACAAGCACTCCGCGGTGGTTTCATCTTTGCCTGCTGGAACAGGTGTCTCATATCCTGTGGGCACGGACGAGAGGGCGAGTGTCCTACCTGGCGGACCTCTGCCGGAGTCTCACTGGGACCTCGAGAGGGGCCGCCGGTAGCGGCAGCAGCGGCGGCACGAGCTTCGGCGAGGTGGGGGAGGACGGTACCTGGAGGCTGAGGTTGAACGAGTTTGCCCATGTCTTGAAGCTGGCGTCGAGAGTGCCGGCTGGGGTGGAGGGGGCCCTGCAGCGAAGACTGGACGAGCTGCCCTACAACGCCAGACAGGTGGAGCGGCTTTCGCGTTTGTCGCTTCGTGTCGACCACAGCGTCGAGTGGTCTCGCTGCAGTGCGAAGGAAACGGCACAAAGTGGCTTGGTGCGCATGTTTGTTTTTGTTCGACATGGAGCTGCTGACGGACGGTGCGCCTGTCAGTCGTGACGAGGGCCATATGTACCACCCGCCCCGCAGTATGGCGGCAGAGAGTTGGTAGCCAGACGTATCACCACCCAAGTAAAGGCACCATCGGCGATCTCTTGAGCGCAGGTGTTTCAGAGAGCGTGGTGTGTGTGCACATGTAGCCAGATGGTTTTCGCCTTTCGCGGCGGTCCAACCTCGGCGTGCAGGCTGGAGCAGCAGCAGCCGAGCGAATCTGTGCTTCCTCTTCGCTAACCGGCTCGTATCTAGCGCATTGTTTCTGGACAAGATTGCGGTAGGGGTGTTGTCGGTGCCGTAATACTCATTGCTTTTCCGTGTTTCAGCTTGTTGGTTTTCGAGTGTGCACTCGCAGAGCAAAGCGCGCACGGTCTCGAATTCCTCATTTGTTGAGCCATGTAGTCCCCCCTTGTCGGAATGCTCGAAGGTGGTGCTTCGAGTGGTCTGTGTCACGGTCGTCGCGGGTGTCGGCGAAATCGACCTCCTGCTTCACCTACTGACCAACGTCGCCCCGTTCAAAGAGGTATGTCGCTGCTGCCGTGCTATTGTGACGGCTACTCATGGTTTGCTGATGAAAATGTCTATTGGTTGCGTATGGGTCGGTGAACACTGGTTTTGTCTGTCGGGGGAAACAAGATTAGGATCAGCTGAGCCACCCTGCCCAACGCCCTCCTCACGATGGTAAATCACAACCTTCGTCCGACCTTTTGAGATTTGTCCAAACACCTCGATGCATCTTGAGAGTTGATCGAATGCCTAAGCTAGGCCAATGCACAGCAGTCCCGAACACGATTTACTTGGGGGCGCAAAAACAACCTCTACACCACGTAGGACACCCGACCTCCCCACATGTCCACGTCCTACCTCCACCCTTCTATCCTCACCCGCTCCTGCCTCCAAAACGAACCCGACCACAAACGGCAACACATGGACGTCAGTACTGGAAGGCCGTGGTGTCCCAACACGAGAGCGGGGAGGCGACCACAAGGCGCCGCAGCAGCCGCTCCCGTCGCGGAACAGGCACGCCCCCCCGGCGGTCCTTGACCTTGTCCCCTGTCAACACCTCTCCCAGCGTCGCCAGCACCCCGGCCACCGACGCCGCCAGCACTGGGGCGTCGGCGGTTGCTAGGGCAGCCGTCGAACGCCGCGATATCGCCCGCGGTGGCGGCGGCGGTGGGGGCGGCAGCGGAATGGCACACGCCGATGCGGAAGCAGCACCACCTGAGGCAGCAATTGCGACGAGACAATCACCCCCGCGTGTGCAGTCCATGTCTGAAGCGGCAGCCGCGGCGATGACCGAGTTCTTGCGAGACGAGGCAGGGGCGGCGGGCGCAGAGCAAGACCGGAAACGGACGCGCTCGGACGTCCCTGGGAGGCCTACCGCACGTGACTCAGGAGGGGACGCGGGCTTGCGGACAACAACGCCTGCCAGCCCGGCGACCGCTAGAAGGGCGGCCTCGGCCATCGACAAGTCGGCGGGTGTCGACTCGGAACCGGGGGCCGGGGAGGAGGCGCTGCGCTCTTGCCTCGCCATGCTCGAGGCGGGGGGGTTCCTGAGGCTGTGTGAAGGAGGGAAGACGTTCGTCTGCGACGATATGATGCTGATGGATCAGGTGCGGACGGCAGCCAGCACGCGTGCAGTGCGTTTGGATTCGATCGGACCACGTCGACGGACAGAGTGGGACGTTTTTGTGGGGGTCGCATGATATCATGCACCAGCACGTGCTCCCAATGCGGTCATGCCATGCGCATCAGCTGGAACTGACCACCTCCTGTCTCTTGCCTGCCATCCCACCGCATTTTGCCCATGCTGCCGTGCTGTGTGTGGCTGCTTCCCGTCACTACTATTATAGGTGTACGCTTCCACCCCCTTCAAGCTTCGCAAGAGCTTACACAAGGAGGCCGCACAGTGGATCTCCGACAGGCACCGACGGGATTTCCGCGATCGGGCCGACGTCATGCCCATGCTGATCAACCACCTCACGCAAGCTCACGAGGAGGCACGGGCGCAGGCCATGCTGGCCGTACTCAAGGTGATGCTGGCGTTGTGACACGGTGAACTCTATCACCGACGAACGCTTGCGCGTAGGTATGATCGCTGCGCAGACGCTAAGGCTTTGTCTTACGACTATGGATAATCAAGATATATATATTTGATGCTGATTCAGTTCAGCCTCTATGACAAAGTGTCAAAAATCATGTTCTCTCATACCAGGTACAAGATGTCACCGCCACACCCTTTTCCTGTTTTTTAGGTCCTTGGAGGGCGTTTCCTGGACCGGTGGGTTTTGGAGCACGTTCGGCAACTGGTGTCCATTCGGGAGACGCCCCGCAATCCCACGGCCTCCGAGCATTTGGTGAGCCAACCCGATCTTCCTGTTCAAGAAGTTACCAATATTGGACCTCCTGCAAAGGAACTCTTGGTTCGGAAAATCAGGCTGGATGTATCGACAGATTGGACACGTTTTTCTGAATACGTTACCATAGCCAGTGTGTACGAATCAGAGAGAGAGATTGGGAGACTATCCAGGGTGCATTGATAGAGGTGAATTTCCTAGCCTCGCACCATCAATCCTGACCCCCTTCCCCCCCTCCTCGGTGTGTGCTATCGGGGTTGGGTTTTCGTCTTCGTCGGGTGGCAACGACGTTGTAAAACAAGCCGCCGCCCCCGGTGTTTGCCATCGGGGTTTGGGTTTTCGTCGCGTGGCAACGACATTGTAAAACAAGCCGCCGCCCCCGATGTTTGCCATCGGGGTTGGGTTTTCGTCGCTTGGCAACGACGTTGTAAAACAAGCCAAGTCACTTCGTGAACTCGGCAACCAGGTTACCGTTTTTTTTTTTTTTACCTCGGTTTTTTTTTTTTGGCGGTAAACCATAATGGTGGTCGAGTAGATCATGTTGTGCGGGGTCGAGAAACCTCACTCCGCGCAACGGGGGATGATCGCACCACGTTGTGTTAAAATGGTCAAGCATCCTCGAGGCAGTTACACAGTGCTTACAACTGTCTCTGGAAGTGAAAGCACCAGAAAATAAATTAAGTCATACGTAGCTGTCATCCGTACTCAAGGAAGTAAGCACAAGATGCCGAACACCCTTAGCAGGATGCAGCTCACCCTTCATGCGACTCGCCAAATACCTCACGGCGCTTCGCGCTTGGTGATGTGAGAGCCTGGTCCGGTGAGAACCCGGCGTGCTCCGTCCCGGCTTTGTAGGGATGCGAGGTCAATGGTCAAACGACTACGGCATGCACGACTATGAGTACACCCCCCCCCCCCCCCCC